CTTCACAATTGTATACCACTTTGTGTTGGTCTTTCACATTAAATTCCAGTGAAATATATTTATGTTTGTGGTTGTAATGTGACAAAATATGGAAAAGTTCAAGGGGTATGAATACTTTTGCAAACCACTGTATCTCCTGAACCACTGTACAAATTTTAATTAAACTTATAGTAGTTAGCAATAATTGGACTGATAGACTTGGCGTTGACCTGATTCAAGACACCCTAACGGTCTTAACTCAGTCAGTTTTGCAAATATTCACCTAAAGTCTCATGTGGTTGTAGAGACTGATCTGAAACTTGTGTTTTAAGTGCTAACACATCTCCAACACTGTTGGCACAATGTCTCATAAACAACTGACTGAATTTAAATGAAACTCTGGGAAAGGTTTTATTGTTTGTAAATCTACAACTGATTATGGAGTCAACTGAATTCAAGTTTTCTGCCATAGCTAACTGACCTTAGCCTACTCAATAATTGATTATAACACAGTGAATTTCATAGATATTAATGTAAAATTAGGTGTTGTAGCACTCTCTCACAATTTGATCAAAATAAATTATTTGTTTAAGATGATGCGTGATATGCATTTCTTCAAGAAATGCTAGGCCTCTATTTTGCAGCATGAATCAGCCTTTTTTTTTTTTTTTTTTGTCTGGGTGCTGCCAGTACTGGTGGTGGGTCTTGTGGTAAAAAGTATATAAAGATGTTTGGATCCGATATTGAGTGGCTCTGTCTGGTTTCTATGGTGACACTGGACAGGAAACGGTTGAAACCACTGGAGTAAAACATCAATACAAGTCAAAAATGTTGACAGTAAAGGAGCAGATGAGACCCTTTTTTTTTATAAAACCCACCCAGCAGCTGTTTCTGTGAGGTGTTCGGCCACTTGAGTCTCCAGAGCCGCCTTCATGTTGTGTTGCACAGAAGCCAAACTTTCCGTGCTCCGTCGCTCTCTGCATGAGAGCATTTTTATGTTTACCCCCATCCTCTCCAGAGGATTGTCCTTTATTGTGTTGCCCACAAGTTTATTTAAAATTTTTTCGTGTGGTTTTCGACCCATTACGGCTCTCCCCTTCACAGACATTATGGCAGAAAACCCAGCATTAATTATTAACAGAGAATCCTCTTTAGCACATGTGCTGTCTGCAACAGATTGGAGCAATTACAGTAAAAGATGTCAACAGCGGTCTCTGGGTACTGCAGCACAAAGACGGCACCATCCGGCCTTAATGGGGCTTATCAGAAGGTGAGCAGATATGCACCTTTAATGAGCATTGCACAAACCACATTTTAGGTTTTAACTCCCTGTAAAACTGCGTCAGGACTGGGGATTGGAAGCTGAGCGTGTCGAATCACTGTCACACACGGAGTCATTAGTTACTGGGGAGCAGAATAAAAACAACATGTGAGCTTCAGCAATGAAGCTGAGCATTGATTTTACCTTGTGTAGGTAAGGAGAGGGGCTTTTATTGGGGACATTAACTTGACTGAAACAAAGGCCCAGCATTCCTTAAAAGAATCATCGGCTGCCTTTCATTCCAGGGTTAGAAACTACTGTGTTTATTCATGTTTAATACGATCTCGAGTATAATACGATAATCATTTTTTGAGATTAAAAAGCATGAAAAATCTAATCATCAATACCCCCCATTTTATGGATGATTTTTAGGGTTACATTTCTAGTATTATACATGAACAAAAAAAGGAAGTGATTATTTTCTGAAAGTTTAATCAAAAGTGGTGAGATGAGATGTTTTGCCAACAGACACGGTTCTTCATGTCAAATAAAACTTGCCATAAAAACACACTAAGAGCACTCACTGAAACAGTTCATCATTTCCTTAAAAAAACATTTATGAAATCGCTTCAGCATACTTGCTCTGGTTTTGTCTTATGCTACTGCTAGCTTTTAGCTACCATTTTGAAAATGTATTTTAGAGATCCTGATTCAGGTTAAATATTACTTTTGAACTTTAGGATGCAAAATGACCCCATTTTTTGTGAACAATAAAAAGTATATTGTTTATGCCAACACTATTTGGTTCGGTTCAATACTTTAGTCTCACGGTTCGATAAGTTTTCAATACAAAAAGAAGAAATGCCCTCCTTAACTTGTAGTTTATTTAAATTAATAATGTTAATATGTTTATACACCTCAAAAGTAGAATTTTTAAATTAAATGTTGCTGAAACAGCAAGTTTCTCATTGGTTCTTCACTCAACAGTGCAGCCTAGGCGGAGTAGTCGAACACAGATCCACTGATCCTTCAACACAGAGCATCTTCAGAAGACAAGTTAATAAAATATATTCTAAAAATATGTATTATTAGAGTGTATTGAACTTAAAGTACTGTATTGAACGGTTAGATACAGATATTTTTACATCATGTTATGTCATTCCCTCATCAGAAAACACATTTTTGACAGAAAAATTGCTAAAACTAGACTTTCCTGTTTTGAAAATAAAAACCACACACACACACACACACACACACACACACACACACTGCCCCCCACCCCCCACACACACACATTGGAGAATCATCTTGCTAAATCGAAGTTTTCTCTTGTCACGAGTGTCGTTTTGATTTAAAAAATAAANCACACACACACACACACACACACACACACACACACACACACAAATAAAATAAAATAAAATAAAATAAAAAGACACCAATCTCATGTTAGTTTTGATCAAAGCTTCAAAGAGTCTCTGCAGAGGGACCAAAGAGCTGCATGTGGCCCCAGAGCCGCCGGTTGTAGACCCCTATTCTGGGGAGCCCTGGTCAAGATAACAACATAAAAACAGAAGAATCATTAAAAATTAACAATAAAAGAGAAAAAGACAGTAAGTGAAAAATAAACAAAATAACATGCAAGCATGGGTTAAAACATGAGATAAAAAAAATACAACTATATTAGATAATAGATTATAATTTCTGTTTCTGATGCAGCATCTAAAAAACATCATTTAACAACTGTGGACATGTTTTGTGGGAAGTTTTCTGAGACATGAAGAAGGGAAGAAGGTGGTGACCTGTCATCAGCATATGGCAGGGTTCTGGTTCTGCCACAGCCCATCATATGTTCAGACATGAACAAATGTCAGTATTTAAAGTGTTTGAACTTTTGCCTAAAAATAAATAACCTTCTGCACACCATGTCAAAACTTCACCAACTATGGACTTGAAGAAGACATCTGCTGCAACAAATGTGTTCATTTTTGCCAATAAATTATGATGCAATTAATCCAAACAAATCAACTCCACTCATTTCCATCACGTCACGAGTTGTTCCATTTAAAATCAGACTGAACAGCCTTGCTTTTGTTGAACGCTCTGAAGTCTTATCTTCCTCGAGCTTTGCCCAGAGTCTGCAGTCAAATTTGTACCTCTTTCTCTGAGCAGCACCTTTGTGTCAATCAGGCCTTTTTGCACCTTATCAGCCCACAGCACTCTGTTCCCTGCTGTCTCTCGTCAATACTCGCTGTCACAGCCTGCTCCTGTCAGGATTCCTGTGTTTTTCCCTGTTTCCCCCCACTAATCACCACATTTTCAGGCTGAGCTGAGAGCTGGGACTGGGTGGACCTGGCACTGCTGTGGGTAATCACTCTGATCAGTTTGTTGGAAGTCACATGATGACACTTCAACCACTTTTAAAAGAAACTACTTGCGATCATAGAGTTTCCTACCTGTGTCTCCTTGCAGAATCTGCTGTGTGCTTCCCGAGTTCCCCAGTGAACTGATTAATGGGAATTACTCCAGTGACTCCTCTCTGCTGAACCTCCCTCTGTCAGCTCAGTCTGCTGTGAACCACTGCCTGCCGGCTCTCTCACTCATTGTCACCTCCTCGGACATCGGAACCTAACTGATCACCTCGCATCCTTTTAGGGTCCTGATCCGAGCTGTGAGCTCCTGTGAGCAAGTGACATCAGAAAAACTGAAAGACTCATAAAAAAATTCACTGACAACAAACTTAACCTGTTTCCTGTGCAAAACTAACACTACTGGAGTGAACTGGTTCAAACTACACCATAGTTCAGGATAATCTTTGTTTGATGTCATGAAAAAGGAAATGGCATTTAAAAGAAATTCTGCAGAACTCAAATCTTAGAGACGACCAGGAATTTGTGCAAACAAAAAGCGTCCCATTTAATCAGAAGCTTGGGAATCTTACCATTAGTTCTTATGTAATGGGGGGAGGAAGTGTTGACAAAAGCAGATAAAAAATATTCCTTCAAAGCCTGACCCTTTAAAAAATAGTTAGAAAATTCCCATTTTTTAGAAATGACTTGTTTGTTTTTTTTGTTTGTTTGTTGTTTTTTTGGGCCTTTAAACAAAATCTTTTTTTTTGCCACATCACTTTGTCTATGATATATTTTTGTATCAAATCTGATACACTGGGCTGTTTTGGTAACATTTTGCTCACAACAAAGTTAAATTAAGAAACAAAAGACAGTTTTTGATTTGATTTGATTTATTTAACAGGAAAAGATTATTAAAAATCAAGCCAGACTCAGCATAATTGCTGTTTTACAGCAGGTTCCTGTTCTGCAGCACATAAAACACTCAGAATTACAGCATCACAATCACATCATTATTATTATGTCATAGACACAGACAAACAAGCATACCAAACTTCAAAAAGGCAGCATTTGCAAAATAGGACATCTAAATA